TATCATTAATTTAATTTGAATTTTTTATTAATCACTAATTTATTATTTTATTAATCATTATAATAAATCATATATTATCATATATTGTGACTCTTTATAAAAATATTCTTTATAATAATTGGCTAAAGAAGTTTTCAATTATTGATAAATGAATATAATATGTATATATTATACTAAAAAATGTAGAAAATAAAATAAAAATACATGCTTAATTTGAACAAAATGAAATAAATATTGAAATTATTTATTAAATTAAATTAACACTTCCACAAATAATAATTTAAAAAAAAATCAATATTATATTTTTTCTGAATCAGAAAAATCCCCATAATATAAAATGACCTATAAAAAAAATCACTTCGGTACTTGTTAAAGTAGAATCTATCCTCCATTGCGAAGATAAACAAAAAGTACTCGAAAAGCTTTGCTTGCTTATTTTAGAAACAGCCTGTAGAGCGTCGCTTCTCTCTGCAACCGTGGACAATCGACGTAACCACTCTCTCGTGCCTTTTACCGCACTTGTACGGATCCCGGACGAAGTGTAACGATGCCGAGAGATCGATAATAACCGCCGCGGTTTGGTTCCACCCGAGTCTCGTACGAGACAGGGACACTTTTTTCCTTTCCCTCTCCCCTGATAATACTATCTTTTTCTTTATCTACTCGGTTTTCGACATCTCTCGTTTTGTTCCTCCTAACAGTGATTTTAAGCTTTAATTATGTGACAAAAAATGACGGAAGAGTAATAAAGAAGAGTAATAAGAATAAAATAAAATCTTCACAAACTTCTTCACTTGACTCTTATTATATTCTTTTTTATACTTATTAATTCACATTATTTTATTTTTTTGAAAATTTTTTTATTTGGAAAATAAATCTACATTTAGTGATAAAAACAATGATTAATGTTATTAAAATGAAAAATAAATTTGAAATAGATCATAATATAATAATTAACGTTTGAGTATTCTAACATTAACGTTTGAGTAGCATAAAAATCTAAAATATAATACTTCTCTAATTTTTCGCATTATCGCATTATTATCAGTGCAAGCGATAACATTTCCAAATAGTTACATACATTCACAATACATATGTATCGTATCAAAGACCATGCAAGTCGTATAATGAACTTATTTAACTCAGTATATATTATATGATACGATAATATGACAACGAGAAAATATAATCAAACGAACCACGAACGCTTGAAATGCTCTTATCTTAAATGCTCAATAATAGATATTCATTTATATAGCCTTGTTAAAAAAAAAAAGAATTATTATCGAATATTTAATTGACCAACTTTAAATTTAGAAAACAATGTTGCTTTTCAATTATAAAATTTAAACAAATAAATAATAATTAATTTCTTTCGCGAGTTTACTCTATATAACTTATGAATCATCAATAAATAAATTAGTAAATCTAATAACTACAAAAATTTTCCTAATGCATCATCTTATTTGATCTGATTATATTCAATCAATAATTAATAAATATCAAAATTATACATCTATACGACGAAACAAACTTTCTTGTTTTTTCATCTTTTAAAAATAAACTAAAAATAAATAATTTATATTGTCATATATACATTATAAAATAATCAACAAATCGAAGAAAAAGGAATTCAGCAATGAAAATATTTTTCTAACTAAATGATCTTAAATAAAGAAGAAAACTTCATTGGTTAGTTGATAGTGGCGTGAAAACTGATCTCTTTTGTCAAACTAAGAACAATTTAACTTTCTCGAAGGATAACACCTTCTCTTTTTTTCTTTGCATTACTAAGAGAGATGGATTTACGCGGCGCCAACGAGGAAAACATAAATATACAAAACGCCGCCGCGCGCATATACACCGTCGACCGTGAGTGGGTTTCTAGTAAAAAGAAACAGAAGTGTCGCGACGTGAATACAGGTCACAACATCGCTGAATAAGCAACCGAGCGCGTGTATATCGCTGCCCTCCACGTTCAGCAAATTACGTAAGGCCAGAACAGGAGCTCGTTTAAATACCGACACAATCAACGATGAATAAGTTACCGTGTATGTCGCGCGTGTGCACACTGACGAAACAAAATAAGGGAAACGTACACGACGCGTTCGTTCCATATTCGCGTTAAATTCGGCAAAAGTTACGCAATCCGACATACCGCTTGGCGCCGACGTCCTTTAGGATATGCCATTAGCCTTTAAACAATACTTATATATCGAAATTTTTAACCGTTTTTATATGATTACATTAAGAATTATTTTTTATTTTTTCTTTTTCTATATTGTGATAATTTATACATACAATTAAATCATATTTTCATACTATTAGGATTTATAAAAAAGATACAATGCTACATTTCTAATATTTTTCAATCGTTCAAACCCTACATTTCAGATTAGTAGGTCGTTAACATGCTTTATCGTTTCGAACGGAAGCTTGTTAACCGAGTCCAAGCAAGAACATCGAACTCGTAGAAAAACTAAACCAATGTATGTATTAAAGTGTACTAAAACAGAAGTATTTATGTTACGAAATACTATTCTTCATTTACAAATTACATAAATACGTATATAATTATTTTATTTTAAATTTACAATTAATTCTGTTGTAATCTTTTTAATAAATAATAATTGTAAAAAATTTGTTAAATTATTAAATTAAAAAAATATAATTAATGTAATAATTTTATGATGTATATATCTATTACAATTTCGCTAAGGAAATAAAATATTGTAGTTATTCTGCTTCATAATTGTAACTTTATGCAATCATAAAAAAATAGATTATTTTTAATTTTACTTAAAAATTTTTATTTTTTTATAATCAAAAATAATATTATAAAAGATTAAATATTTTTTAAAAAAATAATATAATTAAGACAAGCATTAAAATAAAACAATTAATAATATTATATTATGAGAGAAATGGGCAATATATCGAATTAAAGGATGCGGGTTATACAAAGATAAAAAATTCGCACGACACAATAAGACACCTGGAAACAGGAAGGAAAAAGTTGAGAACCACTAAGTGCGTTTGCAGTATTACCCACAAGTACAGAACAATAATCGTTTTCTCAAAAACGTTTGCTCAAACTTTCAGAGGATGTTAATTTCTAGCACGAACGCGGTGTAATAATTGACAATACATATAAATGCGTATTTTTAAATTATATTATTTTTTAAGAAAATATTTTAGAATAGTGAGCGCAGATCATTTAGAATGCAAATCTTTTGTATGAAAAATGCATCATATAATATGAAGTATATCACAAGACAAATAGGCATGGAAAAAGACAAACTATCGATGGAAGGAATGAGAGATACAAATGAATGATATTCTAGAAGCGTCTATCCAAATGGCGGTCAGCCGCATGACACGTATACTTAACAGAATAAATGATTTACATCAGACTATACTTGTACCATAGACATTTCGCTCTGCAGATATATTTTGAATGGCAAATCAAATATTTCCAATATCATGATTTATCAAAATGTAAAGAGGAAATCACGCAAACTTAATTCAAACGAATTCAAAATTCAGTATATACGCATTTAACATAAGTGAAGAAAAACTGAAAATCTTCAAGATTTCGTTAAAATTTCTTTTTATATATAAAATTTCAAAACAATGCGAAGTGCTGCCATCTAGCAATAATTCATAACAATTTTCATACTCCTTTGATATGTCAGAAAATTCATCTAGTTCGCACGTGCATTTTATAAAGCAATTAAATATAATATGAACAAAATTGTTGATTTATTTGATATAGTAATTTATCCTATATAGATAATTTGTTTTAAATGAATACTATTATTATAATTTTTATATATATATATATATATATATATATATATATATATATA